CATTGTTTAGCAGGCCCAGGCTGGGATTGAACTCACCACCCTTGGCGTATGTGGCTGGCACCCTTACTCACTGAGCTACAGGTGCTGAGCCATTATTTACTTATTTTAGTTTCTGGTTTATCCTTTATTTAGCAAACTCATATACTTATGTTCATATCATTTCTCTTCTACATACTTTCTACACTCCCCCACCTGCTTTGCATTTTTTCATTGAACAACATGTCTTGGAGATCACCCCATGACAGGATAGGGAGATATTCCTTATTCATGTTCATCACTGCACAGTGTAGTCCAGAGTGTGAATAGAGTTTATTCAATCAGTCTTTTTTTGATAAACATTGAGTTGTTCCCAGCTTTTTATTTTTACAACTAATGCTGCTTTCAGTGGCATTGTGCTTATAGTACGTATCTTTGGGGATTTTACCAGTGTAAGTTTACAAGTGGGGTTGCTGGATCATGCATATTGCTGAGTAACAGTGCATATTGTTTTGCTTGAAGTTACTCAAATCCTCTCCACAGGGATTGTACCATTTTGCATTTCTGGCAGCAGTGTGTAGATACCTTACCCCCCAAGCCACCTAATGGAGACTGTTGTCAAACTGTTGGATTTTGCTAATTTAATAGGTAAGAAGTGATGTCTTTGTGTAATTTAAATTTGCATTGCTCTTTTTATGGTAGAAGGACCATTTCCTTTTTTATGAACTCTGTTCATTTCTTTTGCTCATTTTTCTATAGAGCTGTTGGTCTATTGGTCTTTTTCATTTAGTTTTAGAAACTGTGTATATATTACGCATAGTAACCTTTGCCTGTAATATAAACTATAAATATTTCTTCTATTTGTCGTTTTTACTTTGCTTATTTATTATTCATTTATTAACTTGCTTTTCACCTTGAAAAGTGTATTTTTTAAATTATTATTATTTTCATGTAGTCTTATTTACTCATTTTTTCTTTTACTGTTCTGGCTTTGGAATCATACTAGGAAAGTCTCCCCAAGTCCTAGGTCACAGAGAAACTCTATTATGTTTTCCTCTCATATTTATATGTTTTTTTAAAAAATGAACTTTAGTTCCTTTTTGCCTACATCAGTGAGACACTTTTGACAGCCACTATATCCTATGTGATTGGCTTCTTGTGTGAATTAAAGCCACATAAAGGAGCCTTTTGCTTACCTCTCCAGTTTGCCTGGCATAGAGAGCAGTGTGTTTATTTCATGTAGAAGGAGTTAGAATCTGGGGAGAACTCAGAGATCAATCCTGGGGATGTTAGCTCTGGATAGCCTGGGAAGAGAAAGTTTATGAGCATCTGCTGCTTGCTCATTCATCCATTTATTTATCCATTCATTCACTTCTTGAGCCATTAATCCACATATCTTACTGATGCCTGTAATAGACAGACCCAGTGCTGGCCAATGGTAAACTACAAATGTGAGTGACAGAGCATCTGTCCTGGGATCTCACAGTCCTGTGGTGCAGACAGGTGGCCAAGATAGGCTGCTGAGGGAGCACAGAAGCACAGAGTCCCATAGGAATCCAGAGCAGTGTCTTTTTCCTTTCTGTCATGTCTGGGTGAGGACCAGCAGATTAGGTGGGGAGAGGAGACACCCTCCAAACTCTTCCTTTTTCTGAGGACCAGCAGTACTTAGAGGCTCAGAGGCTTGATTGTTGTTTAATCTAAGTCTTTTGCAGTGATGACTCAAAAACTAAGCCCAGAGAGGGAAGGGATCCTCCCCTGGGCATACAGTAGATTGACAGCTGCGTTAGCCTTAGAGCTTAGCCTGTATCCTAACCCCATGTATCCTAAAGGAGCAGGAACCCATGGAAGGTAAAACTGTGCTTTTGGACAAGTCAGCAGCATCCCAGAGTTGACCCAGGTTTGCTGGCAGGCCAAGTGGTGGGTAGATGTTAGGGACATTGGTGGTTCTCATTGTCCCTGAATGTGTCATCATTCATCTCCTTTTCCCCAGATCAAGTCCTACTTATCTGACAGGGGCCCACAACTGCCAAAAGAGACTGAGTGGGGCTCCCTTTTGGGTCCAGCTAGTTGGGCCCAAGCAGCATCATCCTGGGATGGGATGTTCCAGCTGTTGGGGTAAATAAGGTGGCCATAAAACCCACCATCTAGACACACAAATGGCTCACCTGCTCTTTCCCAGGGCACAAGTAGTTGTGAAGGAGAGTAAATCATGTTCGGTGGTGCTAACTTCAAAGGCCAGCCTTCCACTTAGAGCCACATTATTTGGCAGGGATTGCACATAACACGGCTTGTTTCCTGGCTATTCACTTTTATGACACCCCAATGAATTAGGCCATCTCCATCTATTCCCATAAAATGTGCAGAACAACAGTTTTTGTTCTCCTCAAAAGTTTGTCTTGGAAGGCAGGTGGTGTGTTGACAGGGTACACAGCTAGTCCTGCTGTGGACAGGCAGATGGTTCCTGGGCACGTTACTTCTCTCTGGAGAAGCTACCTCTGGGGCTGTTGTCCTGAGATAATTTTTGTGAGCCCCTCAGCCAGTGGCTGGCATTTAATGGGCACTCAGACAGTGGAGGATGGGCCTTCATCTTCCTCCATCCTTTCCCTGCAGTATCCCCTGCGGGGATCGAGCTGCCTAGGCTGGAAGGAAGCTGTGGTGTTCAGGCTGCATGAGAGCTCACATTACTGCCTAGGAGCCATTCTCTATGGGTAGGGGGGCTCTGGAGGCTGCTCTGTGCCCCCTCCTCTCCCAGCCAGTGGAAAGGAATGCCTCAGTGCATGGGCTGTGTACAGGGATGTGTGTCAGACCAGACTACTTGTCTCTTGGCAGTTTGTACCCCAGCCATGTCTGGACTCCCTGCTCCTCATGTGAACTGTGGTGATGGAGAGGGCTTTCTTTGGGAGAAGAGAGAAGTAAAGCTTCCACGTTCAATGTGGCCTAGGTACGTGGAGGCCCTGGGGTGGCTTGTAAGAAGATGGTTTAAGTGAGGTGAGACTTGAATGGCTCTAGGTATGAGAGGAGCAGGTAGATCTGGAACCAGTAAAGAGATTGTTCCAGAGCCATGATTTGGGGGCATTAATGCCTCCCACCCCTCCCATCAACATAGATTACAAGTACTTGCCTTGGGATGGTGCTGTTCTTGCTGCACGTGTGGGGACAGGTCCCAGTACCAGGACTAATAACTACTTCTACTTAACAAATGCGTGGAGGGCAGTACTTTAAATAGGAACTTTAAAATAATAGTCTGAGTGCCCACCAGCCACGGCAGAAGTGTAGCAAGGTCCCAGGCCTGCCTGCTGGGCCTGGCCAGCCTCAAGTTGGAATGTTGTGCAAACTCATCAGAGCAGATGGTAGATGATGTGCCACGTTTCCAGATCCTGCCAGCCTGCAGTCCCACCCAGCTCCAAAGGCAGCAGGATCATGGGTCCCTTCACTCCTGGCAGGGAGTAGAGCTTCCCGCACCCCACATTTTGTGAGACTTGGGGCCAGGCCTGGTTAGGGCTGCTGTGGGAGGGCAAAGCAGGAACATGGAATCCTGGTGTCTGGAGGAAGGTAGCAAGTTGCTGTGCAAGAAAGGGCAGTCTGGTTCCTTGCTCAGTTTTCAAAGGCTTGCAGGACTGTACTCATTTTTTCTGCTCCTAGACCATTCTTTAGACTTCAGGGTACCTACTCTGAAATCCCCCTAGCTGAGGGCTGCTTCTAAAGCAGCTCAGAGAAAGGCAGTCATTTGTTGCCCTCCCTCTCCTAGTAATTTACCCCAGGAATTTATGAAGCAGGAATCAGCCAGTAGGGGACTGAATTGTAGACCCCAGGGAAGCTCCTGGGGTGGAGAGAGGATCACCCATGCCCTGCCTTTGTTACCTTGAGCAAACCCCTGTATCTTCCTGAGCCTTAGTATACCCCATCTGGAAAATGGGTCTCCAGCTTCTCTTCCCCTGGCCTACACTCCATGTATAGAGTGTTACGTTTAATGTGAACCTGACATATATATTTGAAAGAAGATGATAGGAAACATGTCAGCAGAATTGGAAAGGTGAGAACTTTTTTTGTGTGTGTGTGTCAAGAATGGCTCATTTTGTGACTGGCGAGGTGAAGGGATTGGAGAACAGTGTTTATGATGTAGCCACATGGTGGTGCCCCGGGCTGGCTGGCCAGGCCCAGCAGTCAGGCCTGAGACCTTGCTGTGCTTATGCCAGGGCTGGTGGGCACTGGACCTGTTATTTCAATGTTGTAAGTTAAAGGTGTGCCCTCCGTCAGTTTGTTAAGTGGAGCTATTTGTTAGTCTTGGTAGTGGGACTTCTCCCTACCTCCCTGCCGAAACCAGGTATTTTAGAGCAGAAGATGAATGTGGTAAAATGCTCTAAAGAAAGCACAACAACTGCTTGATACTTAATAACATCAGTTTATGAGACAGGAGGCTGTGAAATACCAGCGATGATGCTAAGAAAATAAAAAGTGTCTTTAAAGCTAAAATATGGTCTGTGATTCTGGCTTTATGGTCTGTCTCCAAGAACACTTGTTCCCTGTATTACTGTGACTCCTACAGGGACAGCAGTCTGGAACTTTGTGAGCTGTGAATTATGTGACATCTTCAGAAGCAAGACCCACTTACAAAATATGACCCTGGTGTTGATGGATGTCATTATGCTGTCTAGGTGCCCTGGGGCAAGGCATAGCCCCCTTTCCTTAGCACTTTCACTGGACACCATGTGCTCTTAAGGGGCCTTTCTGATTGGGGAAAAGAGAATGGGAAGAGGTTACCAGACGAGGCTTGAGTCTGTGCGGTATCACAGAGCAGCTCCCAAGGGTGACAGACATTAGCCTGGTGGGAAAGCAGAAGGAGGGTGGGTACCATGATTCCATGTGGGGCGTGGGGCTGCTTAGCTTTGGGTGTGTGTGGCCCAGCCTGGCCTTCACTATATTCACCCACCCCTAGGTGTTCATCAGCCCTCTTGTCCCTCCCTAGGCAGGTACTTGTCCTGTGTTCTCAGGCTGGCCAATGTAACTGGTGCCTACTCTTCCAGGTGGTAAGAGGCTACAAGGCAACCATTCAGCAGACCTTGGACATCCTGTTCCTTGGAGAAGGCTGTGAGTTCCTGAGCAGCACAGATGCTTCCACCCGGGACTCTGCCGACCGCACCATTATTGCCTGGGATTTCCGGACCTCTGCCAAGATCTCTAACCAGATTTTCCATGTGAGAAACTCTATTTGGCATTGTTGTCAGTTTCAGCCGTAGGACATATCTGTGTGGTTCTGGTCTGTCTGGGGTCCCAGGCCCCTTCTTGAGGAGGAGGGGTCCACTGTCTGAAATGTCTAAGATAGGAGTAGGTGAGGCCAGGTCCTAGCTTTCTGCATACGCAGATTGTTCCAGATGCAACACTCATTCTGTTTTTTTTGTCTCCTGCACAGCCACTCAATAGGGCAATGGCTTGGGGAGAACCTGATCCAGGTCAATGGGGAAGACAGCTGTGCAACCTGAGAAACCCCTACCCTTTCACCACCCCCAAAGCCAGTGGAGCAGAGGGAGTTTCTGACCCTTGGCTTGGCAGGTGATATGACCCAGGAGTTGAGAACAGGGACCCCAATGTTAGAGCACCTGCATAAAGTCTTGGATTCACCACTTATGAGGTGGGGGCCTCTGAGCCATTATTTGGCCTCTTTGATTCTTACTCCCATTACTACCACTGTCATTATCACTACCACCACCACCACCACCACCTCCATCTCTGTCACCACAGTCACCATCATTGTCACTACCACCATCACCATCTTTTTTACTATCATTGTCACCACCATCTCTGTTACCACCATGGTGACTATCTCTATCTCCATCATCATCATCACTATGTCATTATCGTCACATAATTGTCATCATTATCATCATCTTTTGAGATTTCAACTAAACCATGACTAATCTCTTTGGTACCCACCTCTGAATTTAAAAACACATATCCTGTGTACTTGATATATATGTGTGAGTACATGAAGTACATATCATGTGTGTACCTTCTTTTTTTCTTTTTTCCTTGTTCTCAAAAAGTTGTAAGTGACACTGAGCAAACCTGCCTCTAGATCTACCTGCAGGGATTTCAAGCACAACCCACTAACAATGACAGGCCATAGATGGGGGCTGAAGGAAACCATTTGGTCACTGAGGGTGGCCTGTTTCCAAGAGTCCTAGCAGAAACCAGGAGAAGCAAGGCAGATGAAGGTATCTTGTGCCTAAGCTATTGGTCCTCCTGTAATGACACTTCCATGCTTTCTGTGTGGAGTGAGTAGATGCTCAGCCCAGCACCATCATGGCAGGGAGATCATTTTCTGGCCACCAAGGCCTCTGAGCCTCTGCTGGGCACATCAGCCTATAATTTTGTCTAATCCTCACTTTGCCCTCTGATTTGGGGCTTATTTCAAGAGGGTGGCTTAAGGACAATTATAACAATGTCAGGGTAGATTAGAGAGGGGGGTTTTAAGTCTGTTTTCTGTGTGGCAGTGCCAATCAAGGAGTGAGATCCCTACCCCTGCATGCTGACATATGATCATGCCTTTATTTCCTTATCTGGCCATTCACTCCTCACTTGAGATACATTTGGCTATGCAGGTCCGTAGGCTGGGCTGGGGCTGTCCCCAAGGTCCTTACTGTGCAGGTAAGGAGATGGCATGTGCATTTGTTTTCTATCCTGTGTAGCAAATTTCTATAAATATGGTGGTTTAAAAGCACCCACGTTTATTCTTCCACAGTTCTGGAGGCCAGAATCCTTAATAAATGGTAAGTATTACTGGGTTGAAACCAAAGTGCTAACAGAGTATGTTCCTCTAGAGTATCTAGGGAAGCATCCTTCCTGCCTGACTGCTGGCATTCCTTGGCTTATGGCTGCATCCCTCCAGTTTTCAAGGCCAGCATCTTCACATCATCTTCACTGTGCATGTCAAATCCACCCCTGCTTCCATCTAAGGATGAATGTAATTGCATTTAGGATAATAATATAGAATAATTTCATCTTAAGATCCTTAACTTAATTGTGTCTACAAAGACCCTCTTTTTTTTTTTTTTTTTTACCACACTCATACTTTGGCCACACTTAACACTCACAGGGTCAGTAATTAGGATGTATATGTATCTTGGGGGTGGGGGCTTCCACAAGGGATGCAGATGGCCTCTAGCAGCTAGAAAAAAGAAACAAGGTTCTCCCTGCAGCCTCTAGAAAGGAACAGGCCTGCTGACACCAGGAAGCCCATTTCTGACTTCTGACCTCCAGAACTGTCATTTACTAAATGTGTGTTGTTTTAAGCCACTAAGTTTGTGGCAATTTGTTATATAGCAGCCTCAGTAAATTTATATTGAACCCCTAAACCAAAGTCTGGGAGGGCACAAGGTCCCTTGAGCAGAGTGCCAGGTGGGGGTGGGTATCTGGAGGCAGGAGACTGAGTGGGAGCCTTCTCTGACCCTCTGTGGCCCTGCTGTTTCTCAGGAGAGATACACCTGCCCCAGCCTTGCCTTGCACCCGAGGGAGCCTGTGTTCTTGGCGCAGACCAATGGCAACTACCTGGCCCTCTTCTCTGCAGTGTGGCCCTATCGGATGAGCAGAAGGAGGCGCTACGAAGGACACAAGGTACCTCTATCCTTGTTCCCCAGGTCAGATGCTGAGCACTGTCCCCAGATCTTCCCACCAGACAGTGCCAGTAATGAATGTGGGATTCCAGGGTGCATGGGGCCTCTGTTTGGATAGATTCTGCTTTCTCTACTGCATGACATGTGGCCTGGTATCTCAAGACCCTGGGCCACATCTGGTCCTGGGCCCAGGCCCCAGCAAATGGACAGAAAAGCATTGATTAGCTCACATAGATAGGTCGGGGTAGGGTGGGCATATGGGAACAGGACTGGAAAGGCATGGGAACATTTCTACTTCTTCCTGTCCCCACCAAGGCCTGCTTTGAAGAGACAGAAAAGGCCAGAGACTCAATGGCTATCAGTGAGGCCAGACACCATCAGCTTTGCTGGAACTATCTTAGCTAGAGTCCCCTGCACTGTCCTCATGGAAGGAATATAGGCTTTGGCCTCAGAGGTGCTGGTATGAAGCCCTTTTCTGCTCTTTGCCAGCCTGAGGCCTCAGCCTGTTCTTCTATAGAATGGGCCTCAAGGAACAGGTGTGACTGCTTACCCCCATCTTGCCCTCTCCAGGTGGAAGGCTACTCGGTAGGCTGCGAGTGCTCCCCAGGTGGAGACCTGCTGGTGACGGGCAGCGCTGACGGCCGGGTCCTGATGTACAGCTTCCGCACAGCCAGCCGGGCATGCACGCTCCAGGGGCATGCACAGGCCTGTGTTGGTACCACCTTCCACCCTGTGCTGCCCTCTGTCCTTGCCACCTGCTCCTGGGGAGGGGAGGTGAAGATCTGGCATTGAGCTGCCTTCTCTACTTAGCTGAGCCTTCTGGACACTGGCCCAAGGAGCCCCTGCTTTCCTGGGGGTGGAGCACAAGTGAGCACTACTAACCATAGCTTTGGGTTAGACCTGGACAGAGGCTGCTTCCACTGCCCTCTGAGCCTCAGTTTCCTTTTCTGTAAAATGAGGATGAAAATTTGTTTGATGCAGGGTTGTAAGGACTATAGTAGTGAAACCACCTGGCAGTTAGCCCGTTTTGTCTAATAAATTTCCTAAGTTATTTCAGCAGTAGATATATTAGCAGCTTCCTTTCACCTTCCTATTCCCAGGCTTGCTGGGACTCTGGAGACAAAGAGAATGGGGGGAGCTTGAGAGGTGGGCAGCCCTGCTCTGCTGATCCCAAGAAGGGATTCCAGGGCCCAGAGGGTTCTAGGTCTCAGGACTGTCCTTGGAGACTGGGCTGGAGCTTAGCAGTCCCTGCCAGACTCCCTGGACCCCAGCTCCTCTCACCCTCCCCATAAGTGTGGCCATCTGGATCCTCAGTCTGCCCAAGCCTTGGGCCTTCTGGGCTGGCTCTAGCCTACCCTGTGTGTTCGCTGCCCTTGTAGGTGTGGCTGTCTGGTGAAGGAGTGATGTGGAGAAGCAAGGGGCTGGAGGAGGCCTGGCTCTCCAGGGACCTATGCAAGCTGATAACAATAATACCTCACCAGAATTGTCACTGAGGGGCTGCTCCAAGAACCCAGAGATCCACCGACAGGTGAAGGGGGGACCACAGGTACTTTAGAAGGCTTTCTGGAGGAGGCACTTGGTGAGGAGGGCATTCCTGGCGGGTGTCAGTGGGGAAATGCAGAGGATATGAAAAGGAAGCCCAGGGACTAGGCAGAGGGGTTGCAGGAGTAGGACCCTCCCAGTTTTGCCTCTCCTAGAACCTGATTCTAGTCCCAGCTCTGTTGTTGCTGTGCTGAGACCATAGGCAAAGCACCTGTTCTCCCCTAGTTCCTCATCTGTCCAGTGGGTAGTTGAAGAGCCAGCTGCAGACTGTATGAGGTTAGGGAATGCTAGGCCTGTATGGTGTTGGGCACAATAGGTGCGCCAGTCCTGAGGGGGACTGGAGCTGGCCCCGGCTGATGTGGGAGGACATTTTTTCAGTGTGCCTAGGGGGTCCTTGGGATCTCTTCAGGGTCCACAGGAAGGATATTCCAGGCAGAGGGAAGAGTGGTGCAAAAGCCCTGAGGCGGGGTTTCTCATCTAGGCCAAATCCTTCTACCTGGAAGCCAATATAGAGCCTGACACACAGTAGGTGTCATGTGGATGCAGCATGTACAGTGTGTATACCTGGTCTGGGGGCACCTGGAGCTGAGCACATGAGGCCTGAGTACATGGCCCTAGTGTCTCTGCACTGTGCCTCTTGGGCAGGACAAGTGAGCTGCCTACGCCCATGTAGGATACAGGCCACTGGGCTGGGCTTGGAAGGAGCATCTTCCACATATTGTTACTTTTAAGCTCAAGAATGGCTGATTTGGTGAAAATAACTGTACTCCATGCCCAGCAAGCCTGGTCCCTGGCGAAAGCAGAGGACCCCATGAGGTATAGGGCTGCCACTGGCCTGAGCAAGATGGCCTGGAAAGCAGGATCTGAGCCTGCACCAGTTAGAGCTTGATGTGGGGGATAAGCAGGCCTTCTACTCACCAAACATGGCCTCTGTCCTTTGCTCTTTCTTGCCCCTCCTATGAAAGAGAATTTCCTGTGATCTATGAAGTCCACCTAGATCACCCCCTACCCTGGAGTGCTAATGGCTCCCCACTCTGTGTTCCCGTCAGACGGTGACTCGGGGCCTTTGCACCTACCACCCTGACCCCTATACCTCCCTCCCCACGCAGGGCTCAGCACAGACAACAAACCATAGGAGGTGGCTCCCCTTGCCCTCAGTCTCCTTCCTACAGAGCACTTGGCCCACCCAATGCTGTTTCTGCATTTGTGGTGGATTATAAGCTCCACAGGGTGGGTTCCTGCTCCCTACTGGGTCCCTGGCCCAGGGCACATAGTAGGTGCGCCACAAGTATCTGCAAGCATAGCATGCCATAGGATGTGAGCTTTGAGATCTGCCAGACCTGGACTTAGACTCCTCTGTCTCTCTTTACTGTATGACTTCAGGCAAGCTGCTTAACTGCCCAGTGCCTTGGTTTCTCCTTCTATAAAATCTCCTCCCCCATCTTCTAGGGATTAATTGGATTGGATCTGGAGTGCTCCTGGCAGGGCCTGTGTATAGCGGATGCTCAGGAACACAGATGGGAACATCAGTGTTAGTATCAGTCTGGCTGTGTGCTGTAGGACATGAGCCAGTTGAGGCCAGGGGGCAGATGTGCTCCATTGTCAGACCCTTCATGGAAGGCCAAGGGTGGGGTTCCCTCTCCTGTCCCTGATGGTCTCCAGGCATTGGCTTTAGCCAGGTTCCATCTCATGGGAGAAGCCATAGGCTGGGTTTCTTCCTTCCTCAATTTCCATTTGGCAAGTCTCAAGGAAGGACTCTGGCTTCTGTCACCATGGCCAGGTGTCCCCATGAAGAGCTGGAGGGGAAAGAGATATGGCCCCCAAAGAACCCACGACCCGCAGAAGCATGTTTGTTCAAATGAATGATGGTGATCTATCAATCAACCTGGACACACGGCTGGGTGGGAAGGCTGGACTCTTCAGGGCACCCCTCATCTGCTTTTCCCATCCCCCTACTTTGCTGCCAGCCCCAGATCCTAGAATGCAGGTGCTCTGCTTCCTGGCCCTGTATGAAGCCTGCAGACTTCCATCTTCCTGACTGCGAATTTCATCGCATTATTTGCGAGTTGCTTTCCCTACTGTGATTTGTTAGTATTACTGGTAATTTAATAGCATCAGTTACAGGCTATACTCAGTGTGAGTGCCATGGAGTGGCTATTGCACAACCCCTGTCCACCTGGGCTGGCTGGCCTCCAGTGCTGAGCACACACAGGTTTCAGGGCCATCTTTTGGTTGCATGGAACCTCTGTAGGTGCTTTGTTTCTCTGAGCCTTGGTTTTCACATCTGTAAAGTGGCGCTGTGGGGACAAGCAGGAAAGGTGATGCAGGGGAAAGGACTTTGTAGATTATTACCTTATCAACTTTACTTGAAATTCTAAATCTCCGCCCCTGAGCTTTGTTTCTTTCCCAAGTGGTGGCCTTGAACCAACTCAGCGCTCTGACCTTTCTGGGGCAGGGGAAACGCACTGTGGCTGTTTCTTAGTGCTGCCTCTCTGTGGATTGGATTTTTCACTTCAAGCCCCTGTGGGTGCCCGCTGACTTTGAGCCCCTTCTTGGGTAGGTCATTTTATTGGGAAAAATAATAGCAAGTGTACTCCAAGCTTTGATCCATTTTTTTTTTCCCCAAATGCTCTCTTCCACAGAACATTCTTAAAGACTGACTTTGATCCTTGGCAAGGTGTCAGGGAGTTCACCATTTGCAGTTTTAAAATAAGAAAGCTAAATTTAGAAAATATGGAGCAGGAACAAAAAAGAAGCATGGACTCTCCCCTCCACCCACCTTCCTGGGGCTGAGTGCTTACCTTTATCCTCACCTATAAAATCCAAAATACCATATCTAAAGCCGCCGTGGGAGAAAAACGGTTTCATCTTGAGTTGCTACACGAGCTGTGTAAGCTGACTCCTCTGTCTCATGTGCCCAACGTGGCTGTGATTTTTTTCCAGCAGAGGAGATGCTTGCAGCCCCATAGGGTGGCCATGATTTCCACTATCCAGTTGAGGAAACTGCTGCTTTGAGGGCAAAGGGACATGCCCAGGACCCTTAGATCCCAGTGCTGTGCTCTTTCCTGCGCTTGGGCTCCCTCCCCAAACTATCTCCCTAAGGTTCCACCTCTGGCCTCCATGGGGCTTTCTGTACATAGGACCACCAATTGTCTGGAAGGTCCCTGGAAATTGCATTGATGAATGTCACTGGGCTCTAGAAGGGGAAACTTGTCAGGAGGGTTCCTGGACTTGCCCGAAGTGATATTGTAAACAGGTGGGCATGTGGTGGATACAGAGATGGGACCCCACTGATGGCAAGGCAGGATTCTGAGGGGAGGGAGAGGATTGGGGGGAGCCCTGGACTATGGCTTGATGGCTACTTGGGGACAGAGGATTGCCTGGGAATTCCCATCCAGTTGTGGTGACAGGTTCAAATGCAGAATATCCAATGGTAGATCTAGAGGGAAACTGGCAACTCAGGACTGGCACATGGGAGCACTGAAGTTTCTGAAACTATCCAGCTGTCACATATCTGTACCTTTTCACAGGCTGTTTCATTTGCCTAAAATGCCTGGTGAACTCTTATTTATCCTTCAATACCCAGCATGAGCCTCTCCTTCTGACCCCGTTCATTCTTCCCTCTGGATCAGTAAGGACCCTATCTGGATACCCACAGGCCCTTGAGAACCCTGAGCCTAGTGTTATACCTCTGCCTCCCCACTACATCTCCAAGCTGTTTGTGGGGAGAGCCAGGTTTCCACGTCCATGAGGCTGGACAGCTAAGCCCAGCACCTGGAAGAGGAGGGAAGCACTAAGACCCGGCCCAGGGGAATCTGGGAGAGAGGAGCTGTTGACCAGAGCCACAAGCATTTTTAAGTTCTAGGGTCCCAGTGAACCAGCTTTGAGCCATGGGAATTTAGGGGGCAAAATAATATTCCCCAGTCTTAGCCTCCACAAGGAGAAGTGTTCCGACTGTCCCAGGCTCCCACCCAGGGAAGTATCAGCCTGACTCTCCTGCTAAATACCACGGGATAGAACTCCAAACCCTTTCCCCTTCTCTGAATGTCCAGGCCAGCCTGTCCTTATAGGTTGCCTGGCTCTGTGGCCAAAGAAGTCACTATCCCCACTCAGCCCTGAGCAGGTACCCAACAGTCTTAAGTGCTCTGGGAACAAGACGCCTCAGAGGTTTGGCTGTGGTTGTCTCTGGGGGCCGGGGCAAGACAGCATTGTGAGGTGTGAGGTTTGGATGCTATCTTGGGACCCTCAGGCTTGGGGGTGGCAACGTGAAGACCGGGACTCTAAATCTCTGCCCAGGCTGCAAGCCCTGAGAGTACTCAGCCTTGTGGCCAGGGTCAAGTGCTTTAATTTCATAGCTCCCTAGGAGCTGGAGCTGGGCATGACTTTTGTCCTTTAGCGGTGGAAAAGCCAAAGTCAGAAAGAGGAAGCTCCTGGTCATACAGCTGACATGTGGGCTGGTGGGGTTCAGGTTCCCCTTGGGAGCACCTCTGCCCACTAGGTGCCAGGTATTGCTCTCTTCTACCCTCCCAGTTGCCCCCCAGTTCAGTGAGGGTTGCCACCCTTGCTCTTCCCATGAGGAAACTGGGTCCCAGGGAGAGGACTGGACTCCTAAGCGTCTCCATGGCCTCCTCTGGCTTAGATAGGCCGCTTCCTGGTATAGCATCTACTCTTAGAGAAGATGAAGTTGGGCCAGCTCTGGCCTCTTCTGCAGAAGCAGGTGAAGTGCAGAGATGCTTGGAGCCCGTGCCCAAGCCCAACCCTCCTTGGGGTTGCCTAACAAGAGGCAGAACCCCCTGGAGTTACACAGAGCTGAAAGGGCATAAAGCCGGGTTCAGGTGGTCCCCAATGGGAAGTGCCCCTGGCCATCTGGAAGAAGCAAAGATAAAAGCCTGCTGGGGGAAGGGGCCTCCATCCTAGGCCCTGTCAAATGCCCACAAGTACATCTTTAACGGCATGAATGGGTCTGTGTCAGAGAGAACCAGGCACTCACTGAAACATGGCAATTAGGGCAGGAACCAAGAGAAAGATCTACACAGATTTCACATGTTGGAAGTACCAGATCATGGGACAGCTGTGCCCACTATGGTTAGGTTGTATGTGGTGGCTCATGCCTGTAAGCCCAGCACTTTGAGAAGCCAAGGCAGGAGGTTCGGTTGAGCCTAGGAGTTTGAGGTTATAGTGAACTAAGATCATACCTCTGTTCTCCCACCTCCAGCCTGGGTGACAGAGTGAGACCCTTTCTCAGAAACAAAAACAACCTCTTCCCCAAACATCTTCAGGGAATAGAAAACTATAGTAAAGCACAATGGATTTGTAAAACAAGTAAATAGAACCTCTAGAAATGTAGAACAATAACTGAAATTAAAAACTCAGTGCCTGTGTTTGAGAACTGAATAGACACAGTAGAAGAGAATTGGGGAAATGGAAGACAAATCATGCAGTTTGTAGCAGGGTGAGACAGACATTTGGGAAATATAGAGAACAAGGCAACAGATACAGAGACTACCATCAGTGGGTCTGTTGGGGCCTGGGATGGTAGTCCTAGAGGGACAGAATGGGCAGAGAAATACTTTTGGAAAAATAATAGTGGAGTATTTTGTGGAACTGATGAAATACATCAATCCACAGAAGTAAGACTCCTTGTGAATCCTGAGAAGGAAATTCACACTCAGACACAACTCAGGGAAAACTACAGAAAGCCAAAGTTAAAAAGATCTTTAAAAAAGTTGTTTTTGAGTGGCGCCCATAGCTCAGTGAGTAGGGCGCTGGCCCCATATACCGAGGGTGGCAGGTTTGAACCCAGCCCCAGCCAAACTGTAACAAAAAGTAGCTGGGTGTTGTGGTGGGTGCCTGTAGTTCCAGCTACTCGGGAGGCTGAGGCAAGAGAATCACCTAAGCCCAAGAGCTGGAGGTTGCTGGGAGCTCTGATGCCATAGCACTCTACCGAGGGCAACAAAAGTGAGACTCTGTCCCCCCCCCCCAAAAAGTTGTTTTCCTTCTATCAAAGGAACAGCCCCCAAGCTAATGGCAAGTTTCTGATACTAACAAGAAGTTAGGGGACACTGAGCAGCATCTCCTGTGTACTGCTGGAAAGCAATCACCTGCAAACATCCCTTTCTCTACAAAAATACCTTTCAAGAAAGGGGCAAAAGAAAAACACTTTCGGGGAAATAAAAACTAAGAGCTGTCACCCCAGCAGTCTCACACTAAAAGAAACAAAAGTAAAATCTGAGGTGCAAGAAGGATGAGGCAGTAAAGATGTCAGAAACATGAAGGACACTGTATGGCAGAGCAACAGGACTGGGTTGTGGGTTAAGAAAAGTGGGAGAATTCCAAACCCGAGGCAGTAACCCAGAAGCTGGGAGGAGGGTGTCAGGTGTGGTGAAGGAGCCCCCCCTTGGCCACAGAGAGCAGAGACGAGGGACGGACACAAGGGCCACATGTTCCTGAGATCAAAGGCAGAGGGGAGAAGAAACAACCCAAGCCCAAATTCTCTCCACTGGTGTCTTTTATTAATGACTGCAAAGTACAGCACTCACTGAGACAGGGCATGCATCACAGACAACACAAATGCAAGCGACAGAAACCAGGAATCAGAGGGGCCTCATTACATCTGAGGTAGAGTAACACGGAGTAGGGGCAAGACTCGGGGGTAGGGGAGGAGCACCGACTGTACTGGGACAACATCCCGGCCCCACTCAGGACTACAGACGATGGAAGAGGTTAGGGTGATGAATTGTCCAGACTGTGATAAATAAGATTTTTAAAAACGTTTTGTGTCCTCTAATTTATTTCAGTTCCTGTTTGTGGACAGAACTTCAGGGTTCCTTGTCGCTTGCTTGCTGGGGCTGTTCCCCACTCATAGAGCTTGGGCTCCACATGATGATGTCCTTCCCTTCCGAGGGGCAGGCGCCACACACCCTCACCCGAAAAATAAAGGAGCTTTGTGTTGAGAACGCCAAGGCAGCCATCCAGGGAGCTGGAAGCCAAGTGCGTTAAGAAAGTTCCTTTTTCTTTATAAAAATAGTTTGGTTTTATAAAATGGGGGATACTCATCTCAGGTTGGGGATAGATGTATGTGAAAAGCATTAAGTGGAAGTCCCATTGAGTGGAGCTAGGGTAGACGAGACAGTGTGGGGAGAGGGTCCTCCTCTCAGGTACTACTGGGCTGGCGGGGGAGAGTAGCGGCTGGGGAGGCCTGAGTCCTCCCTGGGGGCAGGGTGCAGGAATACGGGGATCTGGGAAGAAGCCAGGTGACCCCTTTGGGCCCTATGGGGATAGAGTGGAGGGCTGTAGCCACGACCTGCACATAGGTGATCAGTTAAGCAGGGTTCCATAGAGCTGGGCTTTGGTGAGACTATCCTTACGGCTCAGCCCAGAACCACCAGTCCGTGGGAAAGCCTGCTGGGGGCTGAGTCGGGCGGCAGGGTGCATCTCTGGGGAGGCCTCCATGGAGCTGGGCTCCAAGGAGTCCCTAGAGCCATGTTCGGGCTCAGGGCTGCTGTCAGCCCCACACAGCTGCTCCCCGAGCCTGTCCGCATCCCCCTCACTGGCTGCATAGCCAGGCAGTGGGTCAGCTGAACGGCTGGGGCTGAGGTTCAGGTCACCACCTGGCCGCAGGAAGCAAGGCTCTCCCAGGTGGCCCTGGGAAAGATCATCACCTTCGGAAAAGCTATCTGCCTTGTAGCTGGCATAGAGGGGGCTAGCATGGCCCTCTATGTTCGAGCCTGGACTGCCCCCACCCCTACTATAGTAGCGTTCAGAGAAACTGCCAGGGGACACGTGGCTTGCGGCACTGGCTGGGTAGGAATAGGTGCCAATGTCCTCCACGCTTAGGGGCCGCCACTGGCCCCTCATGTGGTCCCCGGGGAAACGAGTGGCCGCTGGCTTGGCCCGGAGGTTCCACAGGTTTGGGGGCATCAGGGCCTGCTGGGGGTTTGGGCAGACCGGGAAGCGGAAGGTCTCCATCGGATATGGTGACATGGTCCGCCTATACACTGGGGCCACATCAGCCTCTAGTGGGGCAGCCACTGCAGCCATAGCCTTGGCATAGCGAGGGCTGCTCTCATAGGTAGTGGGTGGCTTACGGTCAAAGAGTTCATCACGGCTATTAAGATAAATGGCCTGCTGGGAGGCCGTGAGCGTGCTGGCCTGGGCATGCTCCTTCTCCTCTGATGTGGCGCTAAAGCTGGAGTAGGAGCTAGACGTGGGCAGTGAGGCTGCATAGCCAGGAAAGGCCTCATGCCGGTAGCTTGCTGGGAAGGCCGCCGCCTCGGCCTCCTCTTCTTCCTCAGCTGTGCTGTCGGTGGAGTTCTGGGCCCTCAAGAAGCTCACGTCGGTCACAGATGCATCCACGCTGGGCCGCCTGTCTCGCCGCCGCTCCTCTGGGCAGTAGAGGGCCGTGTCGCTACAGTAGATGTCCCCCTTGTAGGGGGGCCGTGGGCCTGGCTTTTCGACCTCCTCACGGAAGCCCAGATCACAGGCTGACGCATCTGACAGGTGGGAGGACAGGCTGGCAGGGTCAGGCTTCTCCAACACCTTGGCAATGACGCAGGTGGGGACACTGTCAGCATAGACTGGGTGGCAGAGCGAGGAGGGCAGGCTACACCCATGCTTCTCTATGTGCAGGCTCACGCGCTCCTGGAAGTCTGAGGGCAGCTGGAACGGCGCAAGGAGGAGGGGAGGGTGGGTACAAAGGTAACAGTCAATATGAGGCCCAGCACTGGCCCAGAGGCTAAGGACTATTGCTGTGACACACAGGCAGGAAGACAGACAGACAACCAGAAACCTCCCAGTCTTCTCAAATCATACCAGTAGGAGCCAAGGCTCAGGACACTGTATTGAACAAGCTCCTGGAAATGTAGGTATTGTCAGCACCTAAGGATTCCTGGTCACCTTCCCCACCCTAACCCACTGTGACTGGGCCCAGCAGAACCCAAAGGCTGCAGTCAGCCTGGAGAAGCTAGAACCCAGTTCTGATTTGGGCCTCACTTGGGGCTACATCACCCCCCATTTCCTACTCTTCCTAGGCCCATGGGTTCTCTTGGGGGTGCCCCCTAGTCATGCTGCCCAGGTGCTTCTAAATAAGACAGACTCAGATGCAACAAAGATTAAGGGGCCAGGCCAGGTACCCGGCGGTATCCGCGAGAGCACCTAGTGTCATGTGGGAGGGTCCCGCTACTGTTTGATCTATTTTGTGAGTGTTTCAGGCATGGCGCAGGCCCCAGGGAATGGGAACACAGACAGAGGCCTGGGGTAGCAGATTGCATGAGAGAGGAGGGGTAGCCTGTGCGGGTAGGGGGTCCCTAGGCTACCACATTTGGGCAGAGGGTGCTGCTGCCCAGTCTGGCTCTGGTGCCAGACAGGCCTGGTTCAGAGGCCTGGTTCTGCTACCTACTCCTGTAGCCTTGGCCAAGTCACTTTTCCTGAAGCCAGTTGCTTCTGAAACAGTCATTGTCAGTTGTGCCCAAAGCGTAAGGTTCCTGTGAGGCTCACACAGGGCCACTGTGCCATGCCAGCCCTCAGGAGATGAGGGGTTTGGAAGAGGGGTCAGGCCCCAGAGGACACTGAGGGGAAGGGGCAGCCCAGGAAGGGTAAGGGGGCTCTAAGAGGTCAAGGTTGGGTGAGGTGTGGTGTGTGGGGACAGCCTCTCCACCATCAGAAAGGCCGGAACACCATAGAAGAAGGGACAGGGTTCAGTCTCACCCAGTACCATCCTTCTCAAGAGTGGGGAGTGGCCTTGGGATAGAACTGGCAAAAAAGGAACCCAGAATGGTAGAGGGATAGCCTGGCTGCGGGGTGGGGTCACATTACCTCGGACACCTTATGGACCCTGCCGTAGGTCTGGCTGCACTGCAGCAGCTGGGCCGCTAGATTGCAGTCCTTCCTATAGAGCTCCTAAAAGACAAGAGAAGGTATTTGGTGTGGCTCACCCTGGCCAAAGTCCCTGCCATTGGTTAGTGGCCAGTAGGGGCAATAGGGGTGGGCAGGGCCAGCTGTGCAGCTGGCAGGCAGGATAAGGACCAGCCCTGGCCCCATCCCTTTTTGGACCTTATGCTTTCACCTGCAAAGTAAGAGCCTCATCCTGACTTGGAGCTGCTGGAACATGGAGGGGGTTCCTGCCAGGAGGGGGACCTTCCCCAGCTGGAGGAGCAGTAGAAAGGCCTCCAATGGCTCACAGACCAGGCTTGGTCTCCCTGTCCCTCAGATTCCTTGCTCTCTCCATAGATGACTGGGTGGGAGGGACGAGCACCCAGTCCCTGCCATCCCCATCTCAGACTTGCTGCTTACATCCCGTTCTCAGAGTATAGCCCGGCAACAGGGTGGCTGCAGCGCTGGGCAGGGATTGGGGCAAGTGTGTGACCCCAGATCCAGGCGGGGACTGGCTCAGCCTTCTGAGCTGAAAACAGATGCAAACAGTAGGATTCAAGGGGATGTGGTTCTGCCTTTGCAAATCTCTGTTGCATGTGCCTGTGGCTGGGCCTTGCACTCCCACCCTCTAGGGGTCATCCCCACAGTGAGGGCTATGACAGCCAGCCCTGGGGTCTGTCCAGCAGACCCTGGGGTCTACTGTGTAGCCCCCATGAGTTCTCCTGGCCAAAGGCTGCTGCCACAGTCCCAGCTCAACCAGGGCGAGGTGTCCTGTAGTTTAGGCAAGGCTGTCCCCATCATGGGCACCCCTTCCTATCCCTACTTCTGCATTGAGCCTGGTGTCCCCAACTTGGCCTGCATGGTGGCAGGAGCTTAGCCTCCCAGGCTTCCTAGGAACAGCACAGCAGCCTGAGTGCTGAGTGCTGGTGCTTTGTTAGACCACCACACTGGTATCCCTTAGTCCCCTTGCTGGCCCTGCCCTCTCAGATGTCCTTGCTCATTCCTATTTGTTATCCCAACCTCAGAGGGGTGCCTCAGCCTCTCCACCCTGCCATCTACACACTTCCTTGGTGATCTCAGTCCCCCTGTGGCTTAAGTACCACCCTGGACACTGGTCTCCACTCTGAACACCAGACTTAACATCCAACTGCCTGATGTCTAAAGGCTTGTGTACTTCCCCACCCTGGGACATGGCAGGTGGCTCCTTTTGTTTAGGCCCTAAATCCTGTACCTGGCCTGGACTCATGTCTTTGTCTCACACCCCACACCCAAAATCTCGGTCAATTCTATTGGTTCTATTGTCAAAATAAACATAACCAGACCCTCTCTCCCCCCACCTCCATCACCTTCATTTGCTGAGCCACAGCCTCCTCTCCCCCCTATTAGCCCCCACAGTCTGTTCTCAGCACAGCAGCCACATGAACTCAGTAATGCTCTAAGTGCAGTCATACTACTCCTGTTCAAGGACCTTCCATGGTTCCCATTTCACTCAGAGTAAAAGCCATATTTCTGAAGATGCTAATAGAGTGTGTCATCCTATTATCTTCCTGACCTCAGACCTGGGGAGCCCCCACGGACTCACTCTGGCCTCTGTGGAGTTCTCTAAGTTAACCAGTATGCCTTTGCATCTGGTTCCTCCTGCCTGGAAGAAATGCTCTTCCCCAGGCACCCACATGGCTTGCACTCCCACTTCCTCCAGGTTTCAGCTCAAACAGCCTCTCCAGAAGCACCCTACTGAAATCTTCAGGCCCTGCAGCTGGCCACCCTGGTCCTGTTCCTTGCTTTGTGTTTCTGTGCAGTGTTTTGCACTTCTGACACACTACATGATTTGCGTATTTATCTCATTAACTATCTTTCTTCCCCACTCAGATGTGAACTCCACGTGGGCAGGGATTGTTGTCTGATTTTTTGGCTGTGTTTTTCACACCATAATCTTGGAGCCTGGCAGGGTCTGGCAGGGAGTAGAAGCACATGAGCGAATACATGATAGGCTGTTGCAGCCCACCCCATGGGGTCCCTGAAATCAGGCCCTATGGGCAGACACAAATGTGACACTGGAGCTAGCCAAAGGCAGGAGTCCTGAGCAGTGCTGACCCCCACCCTTGGGGTCAGAAAGCCTTGCTTTGACCACCCTGTCCATCCACCAGTCCCTTAGACCAGCCCCTTGAGGCTGGGGCCAAAGTACTTCAGCTTAGGGCCTTTCAGGGTCAGAATAGCTATGACTCCTAGTGCTTCCTGGGAAGCCCTCTCAAAACACTCCTGGGTACCCCTTTGTGGGCCAAATATACACAGCACTCACGTTGTCCTCTGACAGCTTGTCAATGGTCACCTTGGCCTCCAGCAAGTGGCTATTGAGGGCAACAATCTCATGGCTCAGTGCACGCTTCTCTTCTTCATAATGCTGGCCCTGGGGAATATAGAAAGTGGGTAGATGTGGTCAGTGGGCAACTCTTGGTGGACTACCTAAGGCTTGGTCCTCAGCGCTGTTGTCACTGCTAATGACAATGTGCTTGGAGGGCTTCAGGGGCAGGCATTAAGAGCACTGACTAACTCAGGTTCAAGTCCTGGCTCTACCAGTGACAGATCAGATGGCCTTGGGCAAGTCACTGCCTCCTTGAGATGTTTTTCATCTGCAATTCAGGGATTGGGCTAGGGACAGAGGAAGGATGGCCTGTACTCGGCAAAGCCTAGCCCATTCACTGGACAGACTGGGAAACTGAAGCTCAGAAAGGAAAGGGAACTTGTCCATGTCCAGCCAGTCCAGCCCCTAGGCCTGCCTGTCTACCCTTTCTCACAGTAGACCTCAAAGATGGACAGGTATGGAACACTTGTTTCCAACTTTAAAATTTAAACAAGCTGGTCACCAAACTAGAGAGGGAACCTCCTTCTCCCAATGAAGGGGAGGCATAGAAACCTGTGCCCTGTCCTTCCTTGACAGGTCCTACCAGCCTGATCACTGAGGTTATTTGCAGGTGGTGTGACCTTGTCCACAGAAGTCACCAGCCCCACTGGAACCAGGCACAAGCAGTGTTGCATTTATTTCTCACAGTAAGATAGAGGGGTTCCCACGGGAGGCAGAGTGGAGTTCACCCAGGGCCTGAACTGCTTCTGTTCTTCCAGGCTGGATGCCTGAGCTGGCAGGCTGAGGTGGGATTACTATCCCCAGGAGATGTCCTTTGTCCCACAGCCCCATTCACATACCCTCAGGTTGGGGTGTCACATCTGCTGCTCAGACAGTACCAGGTGGCACTGAACACAACTACTTCCTTAACCTGAAATCACCTTCCCATTTCAAGAGAAAGGATGAGCTGACTGAGATGTCAGGAAACAAGTCCTGTGACCCAGCTGCTGAACAGGCCAAGGGTGTCAGCTAGGCCATCTCTTCTTCCCCCACTTGCTGCAAGAGCTATGGCCCAGGGCAAGGGGCACTGGGGCTCACCATGCGGTACAGCTTGTCCTCCAACTCCTGGTTGATCCGCTGCAGAGCCATATAGTTACTCTGAATCCTGGAGAGGAGGCAATGGGGTCACTGCAGTGTCAGGCCTGGCCCTCCCACACCCTCACAGCCATATAGCCCCCGAGCTGCCCCCAACAGCCCTACCTGGTCGAGTGTGTGTTCCTCTGCAGAAAATATCCGATTAAAGCTACCTGTGTAGAGGCCTGGTCTCCCTGTCCCTCAGACTCCTTCGTCCCTCCAAAGATAACTGGGTGGGAGGGATGGGCCCCCAGCCCCTGCCACCCCCATTTCAGACTTGCTGCTTACACCCCATTCTCAGAATGTAGCCTGGCAACAGGGCGGCTGCAGGGCTGGGCAGGGATTGGGGCAGGTGTTCACTTTCCTACCCCAGGACCCCCTGGAGATAAGAAGGGAACACACAACAAGAGACTGTTGGGTCCACACTCAGAGGCAGTTTGCTCACTCTTGACACACCAGTTCTTATAAGCCTGGCTATGGGGTTGATGTGATAGTTTTTATTGCAAATCAGCAGGGAAGAGTCTTAATATTGACTCCCAGGGTGAGGCTGGAGATGCAGGTCAAGTCAAGACAACTTTGCCTGGAAGGAAAGGTAGGGCCAAGAGTTGGGGATAGGGGAATCAGGTGCTTCGACTGTTGGTGGCAAGGGGACCAAGTCTATCCTCTAGACAACCCATGCGCAGTGCTATTGCCTCTGTCTTTCCAGTGGGGAAAATTGAGGTGGAAGGTGCTTAAAGCAGTTTAAGTGGTAGAGCTGAGACCTTAATGGAGGCCTGGGAGGTCTAACTGCAAGGCCCTGGCTTGGTGTCCATACCAAAAGCTCAGCAGGACAGGTAATTTAGGGAGGGACAAACAGCTCTCCCCACACCATCTGATACTCTGTACTTATTTAAAACAAACCAAGCAACAGCAAAGTTTACATTCTCTTTGCATTTCCTATTACAGAAGACAGGAAAGTGTGTAATACATTTTAGAAAAAAATCTATCTTAAATGTGCAGAAGAAAAATGCTTTTAGAAAAGTTCGATGTTTAAGGGAGTCCGGTACACTGTGCTCAAAACTATCATCCCCCATACTGCTCAAGGGAATGGTCCCTAAATTCTGGTTCATCTCTGGGGATGGACATCGCTTTTCTAATCAGGACTCAGGGACCCAGGGTAGACCAGTCAGGTCTAGAAACCAGGTTCATGCTGCTGCCAAATATGAGGTAAGGAAGGAGTGGGTTTTGGAGCCAGATCTGAACACGTGCGTGGGAAGAGCGTGTCCCTAACAGTAGCCAACCCTGGGTTTAAATCCTGTTTTGGTTGCTCTTGGCATAAAATGTGACTTTAGAGAAAGAGCTCACCCTCTGGACCCTTTGGACTCCTGAGCTGAGAACGTCAACAGTCCCAGCGGGAGCAGAGCTCTGCCGGCTGCTCTCCCGGTGGCCCCGCCCCTCGCCCCGCCCCCTCACCTGCGCAGCTTCTCTGTGACCTTCTCCAGCTCCTCCTGTGCGCGCCGGAGCTCGATCTCCAGGTAGTGGCGCGTGGAGTCGAACTCTGTCTCGAGCTTCTCGAGCTTGTGTGTGGTGTAGGACAGCCGCTTGCGCAGCTCGCCCTTCTGTTCCTGCAGCGCGCTGCAACGACACGCGGCGGCCGACCGGGCCGCAGTGCTGAGCGGGGGAAACTGAGGCCCACAAGGGCCAGCTGGAGCGCGCCCTGGGCCGCGCCAACATACTCACGCACGCACACACGCGCACGCACCCTCGCGCGCGCGCGCGCGCGCACATGCGCACACACACACACACACACACACACACACACACCTACCTCTCCCTCCCAGGGGAGTGGGACTCCGCACTGAGCCAGTCTGGCCCAGGCAGTTCCTTAGCCTCTACCATCATAAGTAAATCCCCATGTGGTCACCTTGGAGGAATCGACCCCAAAACCTGGCAATGGTGGTGGGGACAGTTGCTGGGGTCATGATACAAACAGTGCCCATCAGAACCTGCCTCTCCCCCAGATGGTACAGTTTACCAGGGCCCTCATCCTTGCTCCTCCACAGGGCTAGGTGGAGACACTGAGGCCCACAGTAATCAGTGCCATGCCCAAGACCATACTTCCCTCCTGCCAACTGGCTGTGTGGCCCCAGCACACTGTGTCAGCTTTCTGGGCAAGGGTGAGGAGAGGGTTAGCAATATGCCCCAAGCTCAGGCAGTGTCCACCACGGTGGCAAGCAAGGTTGCATGCAGCATTGGAAACTCAGCAAAGCCTGGCCTGCTCAAGTTCCCCTTCCTCCAGGAAGCCTTCCAGAAGCACAGACAGGGCTCTTGAGGTTCCATTTTTTTCTCCATTGAATAGGCAGAATAGGGGCTCCTGGTGGCTAGGACCTAAGGATGAGGAACCCCAGCCCCCTACTGGGCCCTAGGTTCAGGAAACAGGGACAAGTAATGATTGATTCATACTTCCAAGCCACATGTCAACAATTCACTTCAACTAAAGTTGAATAAAAGCCAGGGTGGGGTGGGTGGCCATGCCCCAGGGGGACCAGCTGTGAACTCCCAAGGGCAGGGGCTCCACCTCCAGTCTGGGTCAAAGTGCGATATGAGCCAGCAATTGGCCCCTTGAATGAGTGCACAGCCCCAGGGGACCATCTGGGGCCTATATTGTTCTATAACTTCTGGTGGGTTTGCTGTGGAACAGGGAGATGTGGGGTGGGCAGTGTGCACTCCAGACCATGGGGTAGTAACTGGAGGGAAATTCCCAGGTATCATGCTGGAATCCTGGGTGTGGAAGGGCCAGGAACCCTGACTCTGCCGAGATGTGCTGTAGGACCTTGGACAATAGCCTATGTTCTCAGGACCTCCCCAACTCAAACCTGACTGAGGGGTATACAGGGTAGGCAAGAGGCTTCCTCCCAGCACCCACCCCCAAGCCTGGGCTACAATCCCCCTGGTCACCTTGGGCAGAGTTAGCTTCAGTATTGGGCCCTATGAGTAAACCACAAGAGTTACCATGGGCATCCACCCAGCAAACCTCGATTAAGCATTCTTGGATTTCTGCCTGGGTCTGTTTTTTAAAAAAATAAATAAAAATGAAGAGTGCTTACGTTTTTGAGAACCTCAGAGAAGGGCAGGTCTTCCCAAGAGTCAGTCCCCGAAAGAGGATGTGGAGTAACAAGTAAAGAGGGGAAGCCCTGAAGCAAAGTGCCACTAGCTGTCCATGCAGGTCTGCCTGCTGGGAGTGCTCTGGTTGCTGTGACCAGGCTCACAGCCTACCTCCTCCAAGCAGCCTTCCGTGATTGCCCCACCTTAAGTACCCTGTAGCCAGTCTCAGGTCTTTCCTCCCCAGTGGATGATGAGCTTCCTGGTGGGCTCCCACATTATCTAGGGCCCCCACTGCAGGCACAGTATCCCAGGCTGGCATGGGCAGCAGCCCCCGAACTTGGTTGTTCCCTGCAAGGCCTGTAGGTCTATACATAGCCCTCAGACACAGGACATAGGCAGGGTCTGCATCATGGGGCAGAGATGAAGGGATCATCATACTCTAGGTCCTTGCTTTTCTGAGCCCTGCATCCTCAGATCACTGTACCCCTTTATCCAGTCCTACTATCACCCCAGTATCCATGGGGCACCCCACAGACCCCCAGCTCCTACTGGAACCTCTCTGAGCCAGTGACTTCCCCTCCCCCACTGCAGGCCCACCCTCCTCCCAGCTTGGCTTGGACCCACTGTCACTTAGACTACCCCACTTCTGATGTAATCCAGGCTGCATCCTCCTGAAACAGACTCATTGTCATGCTCTCTCCTTCCCACTGTACCTCTTTCCCATTGTTTTGCCAGCTATAGACAAACATGGCCCCTCCCCAGGGAGCCCACAGCCTCTAGGGGAGATAGACAGTAGGCAAAGAGAAGCTGACCCCCAGGCTCACCTACCCCAGGCCCTATCCCTACCATGTCTTCCCCCTATTTTTGCTGCTTGGCCATCATGCTGCAGACCCCTTGACCTTGCCTGGCTGCTCCTTGGGTCCCTGGCCTGCACCTGCAATCCACCCCCTTCATTCTCAGGCAGAATCCCCTCTACCAGCCACACAAAGACCCTTCCCAGCTCCCCAGCTCCAGTCAGGGCCTCTCTTGGGCTCCACAGTCCCCTACCATGCCAGCTGACCACTTTCCTCTCCACCCAATCCTCAGGCATCTCTCACTCAGTTGTCCAACACAGACTATATCAACCACACTGCCCACCCCAGGGTGGCATGGTGACCCCTCCTCGCCCCTCACAGCAGGTCACTAAGTCCTGGGGGTTCAGCTCAGCAGCCTCTGCCTCTTGCCCTGGAGGAGGATGTGGCCTGCCAGGTACAGAGTTAAATCGGAGGTCTGAGGCATCTGGAAACAGCCCAATAGAGGCAAAGGGAGGCCTGTGGAGCAAGGCTGCAGGGCTTGGGAAGCCCTGCTGAGACTGCTGCCTGGTGAGGTCACCTTGCTTCCAGAAGCATCCTGGAGAGTTAAATCAGGACCCGAGCCTAACGTCTGTGTGTGTGTGTGTTTGTTCCCTCCTTGCCCATGGAAAGCCCCTGAACAGGGAAGAGTGACAAGCTCATTGAGTATGAGGCCTGAGGAAGCTGCCTCTGACCACCTACAGGGGTTGGAGCCCAAGGTTGGAGCATGAGAATGATGTGCTGCCCACTGAGGAGACCCTCCCTCCCTGGGTCTCCCTATCCATGTTAGGAGATGGATGTAGACATGGTAGGAATGTCTGGGGACAGACGTGGAGACACCGAGGAGCCGGGGGAGACAACAGGTATGTTACCTGTCCCAGAGCGAGGGCGAGGACCTGGCCAATCGGCCCTGCAGGACTCGGGATTGCCCAAGGCACGAGGGCACCCAGGGGCTGCGCAGCCTGTGGGCAAAGAGGACAGAGCTGCTCAGAATGGTGGGGGTGGGCAGGGTTGGGGCCACACCAGGCCCACCATTGGGCACACAGCCACAGCCTCTTGGCTGGGCCAAGAGAGATGGGGAATCTGTCCCCACCACCCTCAGAAATTTGTCATCTGTAAGGCAATAGAGGCAGAGCAGGCTGAGGAACCAGAGAAAGGGACTCCAGCTTGTGTACCTGCCAGCCCTCACTGAAGGGTCCAAGCACAACGATGGCACTGAGTCACCAGCCATTTGCCTGATGCCTCTCTTTGGTGTCCTGTCTCACCATCAGAGAGTGGGTGAAGTTCCTAAAGTCAGTCTACACCTGGCCCTTGGTCACAGTCACTAGACACAAAGGTGGGCAGGTTCTGGGTCTTTCAGGGCTGTGACAGCACTGTGTTCCTATCTGGTAACTGGTCCTGGTATGCAGAGCTCAGTAGTCAGGAGGATAGAGGGACAGCAAGTCTCTGCCAACCCCTCTCCCCTTCATCTTTGCTGGAAGGCCATGATGGCTGATGTATGGAGAGGTAGTTGGGAGTGTCCTCTAGGCTGTGGGACATGGTGAGTGTTAGGTGCCCAGGGCCCACTTCATCCTCTCCTGGGACCTCTGCCTATAGCCTGTCTGGGCTGGACAGTGGATGGATGTGAGGCAGGACCTACATCTAGCCTGGCTCTGGTATGGTGCTACCCTGATGCAGGAGCCTTAGACACGTGCCTGCTTGGTTGTCCCCTTCCTGGAGTCTCTTAAGGGACTAGCCAAAGCAGAGACCTGTGTGTGGGGAGGCTCAGGCTGCTTTGCTGGTCCTGGAGCCAAAGCCAGAGATCTGACCTCTGCTGAGAGGGGCTACATCAATAAAAGTTCTAATGCTGCACCAGAAACCTGGCTTCCAAAAAATGCTTAAAGACATGAGCAGATGAGTATGTTAAGAGAAAGAGCTATTCCTATTAAAAAAACAAAAAACAAAAAACAACTGCATACAGGTAGCCACAAACAATAATAGAAACAAAGAAATGTTAATTTTTTAACATTGTTATGTCTGAGTGGTGGGATACTGGGTAATTTAAATTATTTCTTTTGTACTTTTCTGGATTTGTCATATTTTTTACAGTGAGGATGAAAAATCAGAAAAATGTACTAAGGATCAAATTCAGGTACAAAAAAAAAAGAGAGAGAGAGAGAGAGAATCACCATAACTATGGATGTGCTGGGCTGAGGGAAAGCTCTTGGCCTGGGTCATGAGCCCCATGTTGATCTCTGCTTCTATAAGCCTTTGTTTCCTCATCTGTAAAATGGGACCTGTGCCCCAATTTCCTGAGTTGATCTGCAGAGATGAGCAGGAACTGGGGCCCCAGCATACTGTGGGGCTGACAGGGTGGTGGGATGGGGCAGTGGTTGGCATCTGGTTAAACTAGACTTTGTAATTCTGGTCCTAGTGTCCACTCTCAGGAAATGTCCCCAGTGTTCATGGCTGAGCAGAGCACAGGGCAAGTTGGGGCTTCCTTCAACAGCAGCTGGAAACAACTGGCCTGTCCTCAGTGGCTTGAACAAAGCCAGCAATTCCCATGGGCTCCCCCTTCCCAGCCCTTGTCAATGAGTCCCACCCCACAGGCCCAGGGGGCACTCATGTAAGGTGAGGTTGCAGAAAAGTGACAGCTCAGAATAGAAAGGAGGCTTGGAACCAGGGGGAAACTGAGGCCTGGGGAAGGGGCAGGACTTTCTCAGAGTCACAGCCTGATGGGAGCATGGCTGTGACTTCACTGGGCTCTGACTCTGGTCCCTTAAGGCATTTATTAAGCATTAGTGAAATTTTTTTGAGCCAGGTAACCACATTTGGATGGAAATTCCCATTCCTAGCTTAGAGTTGAGAAAACTGTGGCCCAGGGAGTTTAAGCAAAAGGCCCAAGATTGCAGAGCAAGTCTTGATGAAGAAGAGACAAAAACCAGGTATGTTGGGCCTTCCTAAGGCTGCTATCCCCTTCCTCAGCATCTCTGTGAGAGAAGAGGGGGTCCCTCTACTGGTGCCACTACTGATGCCAGCACTGTGCCTGCTGTAGTAGAGCCATCCCTGCCGAAAGGCCTGCCAAAGTATTTTGAAAGGAGAGTAGACATGCTCCATGAGACAGCAGAAGAGGGAATTAACTGTTTCCTACTTGGCTTCCCCTAAACCCCAGTCAGCAGAGCCAACTATTGCCCCAGAGGGAGATTGCAGAGACATGTGAGCCACAGGGATGACCTGCCTTGATGTCACCCCCAACTGGAGACAGTGTGCCACCTTCCTGCTCCTGCTGCAGAAGGGCCTAGTGGCCACTGGGCAGATAGATGGACAGAGGGTTGGCTTGGGCCATCAATGCTGAACTGCCCTAAGACCTAGCCTTGGTCATCCCAGGCTACCTTTGTGGACATGGGTATCCTCACATGGAGGAGAGGTACTAACTGGGCCCTGTGTGTCTCTCTGGGCCCCAACAGAAGCCAGAGGCATGTTCTGTTTATTTGCAGCAACTTTGCACCCTAGAGGGCAGCTGGGGAACAACATTGTCAGCAGATGTCCATCTTCCTCCCTGAGTAAGTAGCTTTGAGGGCTGTGGGGACCAGCTACAGGTCCTTGGGGTTGGGGGTGGAGATTGGGACATTCAGGGTGTGCCCTGGGCCCTGCTGGGACTGGGAAACCCTCCTGGCTCCATGGTACACTGGGAACACGGAAGCTGGGGGCTCAGAGAGTGCTGGAAAGGTTTGTGGGGGACAGAGAGGCACCCTGGAGGCCAGCAACTCCCATCCATCCAGAGTGCCCTGCCAGTTCCTTGTTATGATGACAGGTGGGTCAAGGTTGAGGGTATCACTGTCCCATGGTCAGCCAAAGGCCCAAGAGCCACTCCAGCCTGTGTCTCATGATCTGTGATCTGTGGGCACAGCCTCTGTCTTCCCCGGCCTTCTGGTTTCAGCCTGGTTCCACAGTCATGCTCTAGCAATGCCGAATTGCTACTCATCCTTTACCAGCTACGGGCAGTTTCTCATCCCAGTGACTTTGTCCCTGTGTCCCCTCTGCCAGGATATCACTTGCTCCCTCCAGCTCTAGGTTAGCTCCTCTCCATCCAGCATCAAGGGCCCCGGGCCAGCTCTGGCCTTCTGTCTTCCGGCTTAGTAGGCCCTGCCCATCCCCTTGGTGCCTCTGCTCCCTCCTGCCTAGATGAGAGTCAGGAGATACAGCTGGAAGCATTTCGTCTTGCTCATCTTCTCCTGTCTCCTTATTCTGCCACGGCAGGAACATGTGCTGGCAGCTGGCATTTTATGTCCTGGTGAGCCCTCAGTGAGTGGGCAGACCCAAGGTGTGGCCAGGGCAAGGGCAACACAGGCCAACCCTGGCAGGTGGACAAGGCTATGACAGAGTCACCCTGGACCATGGTGCACGCTGCCCTGCCTGTTTAAAACATGCCCTTCCCTGTCACTCTGTTCACCTTCTCCAGGAAGGCCTCCCTAAACTCCCTCCCACTGAGCCAAGAACCAGCTTCTTTTCTATCCCTGCCCCAGTCCTATGCAGGGGGTTATCCCTGGGTACAGAGGCTGTGTCTGCTCCTCTTCCTCAGGGTCCCAGTGCCAGAAACAAGACTGGCAACAAAGCAGGGCCATCTGGCCATATGCTGGAGGTACCCATGGCCTCTAGCAAGTGTGGAGCTCTTAGCTCCCAACAGGCTCATTAGGAGAAGGCCCAAGGACTATGACTTCCAGAAGGGAAGAGAGATAAATAGCTGGGGGTACAAGGAGGGTGAGTGGGGCAGAGGCACCTAGGACAGCAAGCTGTCGTCCCTGGGCATCCCTCCATGCCCACTCTCTGTAGGTCATGGTCCACCAGTGTTCCCACTGTTCTTCATCCCACCTGGATTTCAGATGTAGAACCTGGGCCCTGAGTAGCCATATGACTCAAGTATCATACCTGAGTCAGGGCAGGCCAAACCAAGGCCTTATCCTCCTGACTCCAGTAAGGGGCCTACAAAGAGATGAACAGGTGATGCATTGGCTTCAGAGCCCTGGGAGTAGGGCTCAGGAAGATGGAATGTGAGGCTCCAGCACTGAGCCTGGCACACACAGTACACAACCAACACTTGCTGAAACTATGGCTGACAGGCTGTGCTGAAGGTTGGGGACAGGAATCAGGCCCAGTTCCCAGACCAACTTTATTGCCCACTGTGCCTTCCTCAGGGCCAGAACCCTGCCATAATCCCACTTCTGACACCTAACTCTCTGTCCAGCTTATGCCCTCTGATGCCTCCTCACTCTATCAATGCTGCCAACACTCACAGCCCTTCCCTTGTCCTCACTTGGAAGCCAATGAATGCATCCCCATCTCTCTCTTTATTGTACTAATGGGGCAAAATCCCACCCTGCTTAGGGCCACCTATCATAGATGACAGGAAAATGCATGCTGAGTGGATGGGCCTCTACTTTCTGCTCCTCCAGGAATCTCACCGCATCCCTGTTCCTTTCCCTCCCCACTTGCCTGGAAAGTGACTTCACACCTACTTGCTGCTTCTCCACCTCCCAACACCTCCTCCCCATCCCTACTCACAGCGGCTGACCTTGCTTCCTTTTCCTCTGAGAAAATGAAAACATCCAAAGGGAACTTCCACAGATGCCACTGCCACGTTACCCACCTACCAGCATCTGCCCTGACACCTGGTGATGCTGCCTGTTACTACAGACAGCCTGCTGAGCAGCCCTCCACCTGGGCCTGCCTGCCCTCTGCCACCTCTAGGCAAAACTATAGCTAGTCCCCTCTGGTTCCTGAACCATCAATGTCTCCCTGTCTTCCAGATCATTCCCACCAGCATATGAAAATGAGGTTACTTTTCTCATAGTAAGAACAACCCTCACTTCACTCTCCAGGTACTACCCCTATTCTCTGCTCTACAGAACTGCTATCTGAACTTGCTACCTGTGTGTCCTCACTACTCACTTGCCAAGACCAATGCTCATTTGACTGGTTCTTGCTAGTCCCTTTTCAGTCCTAACTTGACCTGGGCCCCCACAGCAAGTGGCATGGCCAATGCCTCCCTCTTCCTACAAAGACCACCTTCACCCATCCCCACTGGCTGTCCCATCCCAGCCTCCATTGTGGGGTGCTCCTCATCTCCCCAGTCCCCTAATACTAGCATCTCCCCTTCTATGTGTGCACTCACTCTGCAGTCACCCCATCTCTCTGCCAAGGACCTCCACGTTCACATCTAAGCCTCCCTGACTCAGGGTAGCACATCATTCCTGGGCCTCTGTCTCAGGGCAGCACAGACCTGTAGTGCCCAGCCGCTCTCTGATCACACTCCCTAAATCCACAGCCTCCCCCCCCCCCACAAGACCAGTCCCCTCCCCGTGCCCCAAGGCAGCTCTGACTTCTTTTATTCTCTTCCCTGTCCTCCCAAGTGGCAAGAAATCCACTATAGGAGCCTTGCCTTCTGCCATGCCACACACCACTCAGGGCATTGAGGATGTGGAGATCAGAAATGGGTCCAGGGTTAGCCAGCAGACAGAAGGCCCTGGGCATGGGCTGGTGTCTGATCCTCTTCCTTGGGAGGCTGGGGACCCCTGAGGGTGTTCCATGGTGGGAAGACAGGAAGTCAGCTTGGGTCCCTCTGGTGGGTGAGCCAGGAGCAGGGGGCCTAGAAAAGGCTATCTCAGGAGGGTCAAATTGAGCTACCTGGTGGACCAAGGAGCAATCCCCTGGCTCCATTAGGGTTCCTTGGGCACCCCTGCCCAGCCCCCTCCTTCCCAGCACCCAGCCTGGCATAAATGATCATCTGCTTCTCTGCCAATCTCCCCTCTAAAGGAAGGTGAGGTTGCCTATAGGGTGGGGCTAGGTGCACATTGGCCCTGGACCCCACCCTTCCCAGGTCAACCCAGAGCCAGTTGTCAGAGGAAGATGGGCAGCCAAATGACCAAAGGGCCAGCCCCACAGCCAAGAATAAGCTCTCCACAGGGCCCTTAAATTAACCTCCAATGCCTGCCACCTCCCTTGTAGCCCAGGTGAGAAGGGGCTGCAATTTAAACCTTTGATTATCAGGTTCATTACTGGCCACCAAGTTACCCACGCTGACTTTGCTAACTTGACCACCCCACCACTCTCCTCACCACTGCAAACAGACGTGGTCAAACTTATTAATTGCATTGGCAGGAGGCCTGTTTTCTGAATTTCTGGGGCTCATGAAAGCAGATCAGGGCTGTGGGATGCTGATTGGTGGTCTTGGACTGCTGGGCATGGAGAAGCTTGCCTCAACCTGGCTGGTCCCCACCTCACCTGCTCCTGTATACACACACACACACACACACACACACACACACACACACACAGACAGCCTCAAGGGCGAAACCTAGTCTCAAATAAAAGGCCTGCTGCTATGATGACAGACATCTCTCAGCCAAGAGATGGAGTCTGGGGCTCCCTAAACTCCCCTCTAGCTGTGTCTGGGGTGCCCCCATTCCTGTACCAGCTCCATGAGGGTAGAGGGGCCACCCAACTGAGTGGCCTGGGTGTGAGGGGGCCCACACCAGCTTGCCTAAGAGACGATGGCTGACTGAGCAGTTTCTAACCTCAACACTTTTCCCTGCCACAGGCTGCTTGGGGGCCCAGGCTTGGCACTACAAGTCTTGGAGCCTTAGCTTCCCAATGTAGGAATGGGGGCAGAAGCCCCAATCAGCCCCCAGATGTCTTGAAATCTGGGGATTTTCCTAGTGACTCAGGAGTACCCTGGTTCCATCCTGAAGCCCCCCCCCCATGACCTGCATTGCTGCTCCAGGTTCAGATGAAGCATAGACTCAGACTCAGCTTTCAGTAGCTCAGAACTGCATCTCCATCAGCTCTTCCAAACTGACCTTGACAACTAGCACCCTTCCTACGCCACCAGCTCCAGAGCCTTAGTGGGCCCATCGTGGATGAGACATGAGCTTAGACTCTTCAGGCCACTGAGAAGACAAGTGGGAATGTTGAAGAGAGGACAGCACAGCCTCAGTGCAGAGCTGAAGCCCAGAGACCACCAACAGTCAGGGGAGATTTTGCCTGTGGTTACAGGGGGTGGGGAGGGGTCAGCCCAATATAAGCCTGATAAGGAACTCTGACACTGCCACCACTGAAACTAGGAAAAGTACAGATAATTGGGAGGTACAGCAGAGCTGGCTCCACCACCAGCTTTCTCTCATAGTCCTGACTTAGGCTGGGGCTGCATGTCACCCCTCCCATCCCCACTCTGCCAAGTCCTCTCCTTCACAGTAAGAATGATATAACCTGCCCAATGGATAGGGAAGCAGGTCCAAGTCTCCATAACATTAACCATGTGCCAAACTGATGCCAATGCATTTAATCTTCAGAACAGCCTTCTAAGGTAGGTACTATTATTATGCCCAACATATAGATGTAGAAACTGAGAATCAGAGAGGTTCAGAAATTTGCCCAAGGACACACAGCCTATAAGAGGCAGACCTGTGATTCATATTTCTTTCTTTCTTTCTTTTTTTTTTTTTTGGTTGGGGCTGGGTTTGAATCCACCACCTCTGGCATATGGGGCCAGCACCCTACTCCAGGCGCCACTCTGATTCATATTTCTTAATCACATATACCATCAGGGAGGCTTTGCAGAGGAGTGAAAACTTGGCAGGCTGGGGAATAGGAGACTTTTTAAAATTAAAATTTATTTATTTATTTGTCTCACTACATTGCCTAGACTGTGCTCAAATGTCTTCAAGGGCAGGGAAGAGAATGAGAAGAAAGAACAGTTCAGGTGGAGGGTCCCTTTACAAAGACCTGACCCCTAAAGGAGGAAATCAAAGTGAGGTAGTCACTCACACTTTAGTGAGAATTGGTCCACCAGGCTTTCTCTAGTAGGATTGGGTTGGTTTAGAAGTGGGGTAGATAACCTTGAAGTGTGACCCTTAGGGAGGAAGATAGGCCTGCTGGGGTAGTGGTGGGTGAAGGAGACAAGAGATGAAGGGTAGAGGACTTGGGGGGAAGGGACAAGGAGACTCAGCAGCAATCCTGAAGGCAGGGCCAGCAGGTGGCCTGCCCCACCCCAGGATGCAATGCCACAATGCAGTTAGATCCCTGCCCTCAGTGAGTACCTACTACATGTCCAGAGGACTGGGATGCCACCTAGGACAGGGGATTGCCTAGAGCGAGTGTGCAGCCTACTCCTCCACCGACACTGTCCATCTCAGGTGCCAGAATGCCATCCTCACTTCCAGTTGCTTAGGCCCAAAACACCCTGGTCACCTCTGATGCCCCCCTCCCTTCACACTCTATACCTGCCTGTCAGCAGATCCTGTTCATTCAGTTTTCCAACACATCCAAACCTGACACCCTCTCCCCACCTCCAAGGCCAGTCTGGCCCTTGTCACTTCTTGCAGGTCACTTGCCCTTCTGTGTGCTCTGTCTGGAACTCCCCTCAGCTGCTCCCTTGGCTCCCAGGCCTTGGGCCAGGGGACTTGCCCTGGAGCCTCCTGAGGCCTCACTACTTTCCTCTCTGTTTGTCCCGTAGTACCTTTCACTATAATATTTACTTTAAGAAGTTTTTTGTCCCCCTAACTGGAAGATCTTTGCTTATGTTGGTCATTTTGGTATACCCAGTACTTACAATAGCCTCTGACAAACAGTAATGCTTAATAAATATGTGCTAGATACATGATCAATGAACAAATTAAACAACAGTGACAACACAATGGACCCAGGCCAGGTAGGGTAGGGCCATTTGGAAGACTACCTGCTCACCCTCTGTCTCTGTGTCCAGGACATCAGCCTGGCAGTCATATGAGTGAGTGAGTTAAAGAATGCAGACCCAATATTAGTGTCCTTATGCAAAAGAAAAAGAAAAAAAGAGTCCAACTTCAACCTCAAACCAAAACCACACATAACCAATTCCAAATGGAATGAGAGCTAATAACTTCACGATGTTACAAGGGTTTCGTAAGCAAGACACCAAAAAATTTCACTCAAAAAGTGAAAGGCTGAGGGCGGCACCTGTGGCTCAAAGGAGTAGGACGCCGGCCCCATACGCCAGAGGTGGCGGGTTCAAACCCAGCCCCGGCCAAAAACTGCGAGAGGAAAAAAAAAAAAGTGAAAGGCTGAGGCATTCTACAAAATTAAAATTAAAAACTTCTGTTCATTCATCAAAGACCCATTTAAAGAGTGAAAAGCAAGAGACCACGGGAGGTGTATCTGTCACACACACAACTGAGAGACCACATGAGGAGCTCCCGCAAATCAATGAGGAAGTGAGCACCTTGCCAGAAAGTGAGCATAGACTTCACCAGAGGAGAAGCCTAGATGCGCAGTAATCCAGGAAAGTGCGGTTAAGGCCACTGAGAGCGTGCACCACGCCCACCCCGACACCACGCCCACCCCCTGACGCTGCAGGCGGGATAGTGACCGAGAGAAGCACTTTGGAGTCTGGCCTTATCTTCCAAAGTTGATCACACATGCATGCCCTGCGCGCCTGAGGAACGTCAGGTACTCCAGCAGTTCCGCTCCCGCTCCCGTTCCCGCTGCCGGGGTACACAAGCAGAAATACAGCACAGGAATGCCCACGGCAGCTTTCTCTCCGGGGATCCCGGCTGGATGCTGCCCAGCTATCAGTCAGGGAATAAACGGACTGCAGGAAAACCACTCAGAAACGTCCTTCACCAAG